AAAAAAAAAAAAATGTCTCATCTGCAGATTCATATTTGCATGCAAACTGCTCTTGAGGTTTAGCAGTATCAGCAACTGAAGCCAACCTTTTCAAATATTTAAGACTCTTCTGAGTTCAATGGCAATGGTTCCAAAGATAAGGAAAATAAACTACAAAGAGACCATACATGAAGAAGAATTGGTTCCCCATCTCTATGAGCACAATGCATTATTCTCTTAACTTGCTTCCAAATTTTTAAACTTACATCAGCCTTTCTGCCTGAACCAATAACAATGTTGCCAGACCAGAGCAAACAACTCAAAATTTTTTGGCTTCACTTTTTTTTACTCTTGCTCCCTTAAACAGCTTCCAAGGAAGACAGACATGCTCATTTTCTATTGAAGGGGTGTTCTCTATTACCCTGAGCTTCTCCTGTTGGTCTTGCCTACTCTAGGCATACTGTACCCCAATGGTCCAATCTGCTTTATACTTAAAATTAGTTGTCTTCCATACACCCCACATCTAGGCGTCAGTTTTTGTAGAACTATTGGAGCCACAAGAACAGCAAGGCTGCGTGAAATTGGCCACAGGGGTCTCAGATATCTTGTCTGTCTGAGCACCAAACTGAGCATACATAGCATTTTTAAAAAATTATTTATTGTATTTTAGGACAGGGTCCACAAGGTCTCACTATACAGATCAGACTGATCAGACTCGTAGTGATTCTCCTGTTTTCAGCCTCCCAAGTGCTGGGATTACAGGCGCACGCCATGGGAACTGGGCTGGCAAGGCACACCAGGGATCAAACCCCAGCTGCTGCACTCTGCCTAAGCAGGAACTTTAGTCCACTGAGCTATCTGGCCAGCCCCATCCACAGCATATTATTGAGAAGCTTAGAAAGTACCAATCACTGACAAAGGGCAATGTACAAGAAGCCCTCTAAATCACAAAATCCTGACCAGTCACATACTGTAGTTATCCTAAAACTTTAAGGTACACAATGTTTCCTCCTCTGGTCTCTTAAGACAGTTCTGAGAAAACAGAATTGTTTTGTCCTGACAGCTTGCTGCCAAGTGAACATCCTCTTGTGTTCCCTGAAAACTATCATGAATCATACTGCAGTACATGCCTATAATCACAGCACTCGGGAGGCTGAGGCAGGAGGATCACTCAGTTTGAGACCAGTCTGGGCTACCAAGTGATTTCAAGGCCAGCCTGAACTGCACAGAGAGACCCTGTCTCAAAAAGACCCCCCCAAAGAGAAACAATATTTGAGTTATTTAGGACTCCGCTCTGGCCATCACTGGATTTCCATAAGGACTATACTCTTACTCTGGGCAGAGCCACAATCCCCTACAACAGTGAACCTTCTCAAGTTTCTAAGCATTGGGGCCGGGGAGATGGCTCAGTGGAATAAGCACTTCCCTGCAAGCGCAAGGGCCTGAGTTCAATCCCTGATTCCGCGGGGAAAAAAAAAAAGTTTCTGAGTATGAGCTGACCTTCCATTTATTAGGTCTTCTTCAATTTATTCCAGGAAGGTTCTGACTCCAGACAGAGGCCCAGACTAGAGCACATCATGGTCATCCAAGGATCAACATAGATAGGCTAGGAGGACCACAGTCTGCAAACTGGACCACATTTCAACCCCAAGAACCTCAAAACCTGGAGTTCCATTCTCTGGACAGGACAACATGAAGAACAGATCCAGGAAGCTATGCTAGGCCCTAAATGCAATGAAGTCAGGACCACATACTATACTGAGTACTAATCTATACAGGAAACTAAGTAGGCAACCACCACTACCACGACAAAGCTCTTGATTCGAGCAGGCTACGCCAACCTCTGCCCTTCCCCATACCCCCACATTTTAAAAATTTATTTATTTATTTATTTATTTATTTTGCTCCGAATGCCTTCAGGGCAGCTTTGGCTGGCTTCAGTTGTGGGGATCGAACACCAGCAACCTAAGCCTGACTGCTTTGTTGAAGCAGCCACTTAAAGAACTGAGCTAAGGGGCAGGCCCCCTCCCACATTTTACCATCCACTTCCTACCACCCAGATAGGAACAGACAGCTGCCCTTATCAGTTTCTCACCTGAGGACCATATGCAAGGGCAACAGGCAGCTAAAAAGCCATTGTACCTGACATCCCCAAGCAGTGCACATACAAGACCCCTACTCCTAGCAGGCCACGGTGAGAAACTATACAGCATCAGGATCCTGTGTGGTGTACCCTCTCTGAGGGAGAAGCCAAAGTAGCAGGGGCGGCCAGGAGGCCTACTGCCAATATTCTAAAGCACATGCTACTGCCAACTACCAGGAAGACTTCCAAGACCCCAGTGACACAGCGGAGAACTGAGGCAGACACATAAACCAAGCAGGCAGGTTGTGTGCTTTAATTCGCTGAGCTATTTGGCCGGCCCAGAGACCTTCTTTTTTATAAAAATACATGTATCTCAACACTTAGGAGGCTGAGCCAGGAGAACTGCAGTGAGTTTGAGGCCAGCATGGGCTGCACAGTAAACTCAAGGCCAGGCTAAACTACATATCGACTCTGTCTCAAAAGACAAAACAAAACACAACAAAGTTACATATATATAAAACAGGTTAGTGATGGAGCTCAGTGTAGAATTCTTGGGTTCAATTCTAGTACTGCTGGGCTGGTGAGATGGCTCAGTGGTCTAAAGCACCTAAAGAACAAGCTAAGCTAAGCTAAGCAAAGCACAGGGACCGCGGTTCAATTCCCCAGCACCACATGCCAGTCAGTCCCGCTCCCTGGTGGGCTGAGCTGGCCACACACAAAAAAAAAATTAAATAAATAAATAAACAAATAAATAAAATTAAAAAAAAAATTCTAGTACTGCTAAAAAAGATAATTTGTGAGTGGAAGACAGACATGGAAAATGCACTTCAATTGATAGCAATATGTTATGCCAGAAGGCATTGTAGCATGCGCTTGTAATCCCAGCACTGGGAAGGCTGAGGCAGAAGGACTGCCACAAATCTGAGGCCAGCCTGGGCTACAAAATGAATTCAAAGCCAGCTTAAACTGCATAGGGAAACCCTATTTCAAAAAGACAATACAGAAAAAAATAAAGGTACTGTAAATATAGTCAAACACTTTCATGACAGAGATTAAGTTTTAGGAAATGTCCCATTATACAACTTCTTTGTGCAAAGACCATCAGGCATATTTACACAAACTAAGGTTGGCTACACAGTCACCAGGCAATATGCTCTTCTAAGATCACTGTTAGAAATGTAGCCTGTTATTGACAACATCATGACACAACATAGGACTACACGGGGTCCTACAGGATCCACATCCCTCCTGTGGAGAAGCAGAACTGAAGTACTATATCGTAATTCTCTGCTCTGTTATTCATATTCATTCTCCCTCCCTCCCTCTCATCCCTGTCTCAGGACTCTCATTTTGTTCAGAGACTGTATCCAGATCTCCTTTAGCTTTGGCTGTGCTTTCCTTTAGTTCTTTGATCATATTTCCTCACAGATGTAAAACTTGCCCAAGTGGACCACATTCTTCTGTTGTATGATGTCAAACTTCTGGGGGGTAATGGATGCTCTGAGTTGGACACAGCACTCTGGAAATCTGGTCTCCCCCTTTTCTGAGCACGCATTACTGGTTGTTGCAGCTCAGAACACCAGCTCATAGGGGACAAACAACCTCTCTTTCACAGAGCTCTTGGGGTTGTTGTGTTGTAAAACAGGCTACAAAATGTACAACATACTACAAAGTCTACAAAGTCCCAAAAAAGTCCACATCAACACTTTCCAGCTTAATCTGGCAGAAAGACTAATCTTTACACCCATTTTGCCTTTTTGCCAATCTCTTTCCCAGTCTGGAGAGCTAAAGCTGTTAAGATGTCAGGACCTTGACTAAATCACTCAATTCCACTAATTCTCTCAGCACAAAATGCCAGGTCTGTGTGTGCCCAGAAGATAAATGATCATGACCCTTTTCCTAACTTCCTTAAATGTCTTATAAGCACACAAGACTACTACAGGAAAGGAATCTGAAAAGTGATGGAAGCAAATCATCTAGAATTAAAGCCGACTCAATCCACCAAACTAGTAGAGCCTTGGTGTAGGCAATGTTGAAAAAAGCCAAGAGAAATGTAGCGTAAGAGGTGGCTAAGAAGTCAGGCACAGCAACATATGCCTGTATCTGAGCACTCTGGGAAAGGAAGACAGACAGGAGGACTGAAAATTCAAGCTCAGCCTTGGCAATTTAGTCACTTAGCAAAGTTACTATCTCAATATAAAATTACAGGGTTGAGTCTGCAAGTAATTCAAGGGTAGAGCATTTGCCTAGATGCAAAAAGCCCTGTGTTCAATCCCCAATAAAATACACATGGACAGAGCATGGAAGGAAGAGATACAAAGCTTACATTATGGGATTTTTGGTGTTGTTACTTATTTTGTTTTTAAATTTTCCTATACTAGACATTGCCCAGGCTGGGCTCAAACTTGCAATTCTCCCCGTCTCAGCCTCCAAAGTAGTTGGGATTATAGGAATATACCACCACACCTGGCACAGTTTTTTTATTCTAGAAATAAAGGCTGGGTAGACAACTCAACTGCATACGCAACTGCCTCGCAAACACAAGGTCCTAAATTTAATCCCTGGTACAAAAAAAAAGTAACTATCCTAGAAACTCCCCACTGCTTAGAAGCTGCAGGTGGGGTTAATACTTAGAAGCTTCAGGGGCCGGGAAGATGGCTCAGTAGAGTAAGCGCTTGCAATGGCCTGAGTTCAATCCCCAGTTCTGCCAAA